GGACAGCGGTCCTCTCCCCAGGCGACACTGAACAAAGCCTGGCTGTTTGCTCTGGTGGCCGGCTCGGGCCTCCCATGGCCACTGCCTCCTGGAGGACGGAACCTGAGGCCTCCCCGGCTCCCGTCTCTGTCTGCTCGCTGCGGGGCACGGGGACCAGGGTGGCCTGGGTTGCGGGGAGGGGAGGCTCCGCGCTCAGCTCAGGGCCCAGTCGTTTCTGGCAGTGCCTTGGCCTCGGATGTTTATGCCCCTCTGGGGGCGGTTTTCCGTGGTTTGTAAACGGGAGAGAGGAGAGCAGGTGTGCCCCGCGGTGCAGGTGGGGAGGTGCACACCCCAGGCCCCGACCCTCGGCCATGCCCCAGGGCAGGTGGGCCTGTTCCTCAGCCTCCAGGTGCCTTGAGCCTCCCCAGGGCTGCTGCTTTGCGTGGTCCTGTTTTTTACGTGATTTTGTAACCCTCATTTTGTACACAGTTAACAGGAGTTTCTGACTAATCAAAGCTGGGTGTGTCCCACGCACCCCACTCTTTTCCCTCTAAGCCAGTTTATTAATCAAACAATAAAGACTTGATTTTTTTGTGTGTCTTTCATTTGTGCTGCTGGGTGGGGAGGGGTGAGGACGGCCTGAACGTGGACTCGCAGCCCCGTGTTGGTGCAGGACTGAAGGGATCCACCCTGGGGCCCAGATTTGGGACAGTTGGGACACCGAGGCCGGGAGACTCCGCAGCTGGCCCAACGCTGCCCGGGTCGGGAAGGGCCTCTCCCGTTCTTCGTTCTTCTTCGGTGTTGCCACTTAAGGAAATGGCTTTTCCTAGCTGGGCCTGTGGGCTGGGCCTGCAGCCTGCCTTTCCTGCTAGGAATTCGCTGGCGGGAACCCTCAGGGGAGGAGACAGAGATGACCGCCTCCTTTACAGACTGGGAAGCGGAGGCCAAGCCACCCATGGCATGAGGCTCCTCCTCTGGGAAGGGGCGGAAGGGGACTAGGAAAGCCTTGGGTCTGGGAGCAGCAGTGCCCACAGCCCACGGTGGCTCCAGCACCAGGGCGACTGTCCCTCCTTCAGGAAGCAGTGCTCTTGTTCCCAGGGACGGGGACGGGGGACGGGGGCGGGGCGAAGGCCGGGGGATGCCAAGCACAGCCTGGTGCTGACTGCCCCCTGCTGGAGACAGCAGGCCCTACATGGGTCCCTCCACCCGTGCCTTCCTGCAGCCCCACCACTTGGATTGGAGTCTCCATGGCAGCGGTTCTCAACCTGTGGGTCGCGACTAGAGTCTCCATGGCAGCGGTTCTCAACCTGTGGGGACCCCTTTGGGGGTCGAACGACCCTTTCACAGGGGTCGCCGAAGACCATCGGAAAACACATATATAATTACATATTGTTTTTGTGATTAATCACTATGCTTGAATTATGTTCCATATGTAACAATGAAAATACATCCTGCATATCAGATATTGACATGACGATTCATAACAGTAGCAAAGTTACAGTTATGAAGTAGCAACGAAAATAATGTTATGGTTGGGGGTCACCACAACATGAGGAGCTGTATGAAAGGGTCGCGGCATTAGGAAGGTTGAGAACCGCTGCTCTAGGGGGTTCTTAGGAGTCAGGGCAATAGAATAAAACAGCAAGATCCCCAAACCTGATGTACTTAATCTAGGGGTGCTAAGGGGCATGTCCATCACACCCAGGATTAAGTGGTTGGATGCTTGGTCGGCTACGCGTACAAGCCTAACCTGCCATGTGTAGGCGCAAAAGGACAGACTGCACCCGCAGCGAACATCAGCGAGCGGACTTGTGTCTAGACTTGTACGAGTCTAACACTCTTACAGATATTAACTCCTTTAATGTTCACAGCTGTCTGTGGTCATTCTTGTCATCTTCATTTTATTGAAGGAGAACTGAGGCACAGAGTAGCCGAGTAAGTGGCCCGAGGTGCGTGGCTGGTGATGGACAAAGCCATGACATGACCCAGGTAGAATCTCCCAGGGCACTCGGCCCCCTGCTGTGCTGCCTGTTGCCTCGTGTGGACACACGGTAGGAGGTGTGCAAACCAGGCACAGCGCAGCCTCTGCTGATCCCCATCTTGACCTCTGGACACGAGGCCAACCCCAACTGTGCCTGGCTGGGGGCCTCCTGGCTCCGGGCTCGGGCTGTTCTCTGAGGATGCGCGCCATGCTCAGAGCGGCCTTTGGGGCAGCAAGGGGTGGAGACACTGAGGTTTGGGACGGCACCGAGTGTACTTGTCCACAGCCACTTTACCCCGGCACCGGGGAGACTGGTCGGTCGCCTTGTCCTCCTCTTTCCAGCGCCGCACGCAGGCGCCCCTCTCCTCTTGCTGCTGCTCACGGGGACCAGGGACCATGGCTGGTGCCTGCAGAGGACTGCGCTCAGTAGGCACTTTTATTTCTGTCCAGTGCTCAGCCACTCCCCTCTCCAGAAAGCAGCGCGGAGCACATGGCGAGGACGTCTTAGTCCTGTGGTTGGGATGCCTCTCCTTTTGTGCGTCAAAGCCAGTGACATCACCTGGGCCCGTTGCCTCTCAGGCATGGAGGAATGACCCTCAGAACGAGTCCTTTTCCCACACCAGGGCACACAGAAAGTGACGGTATGCGTGCAGGCCTCGATGTTTGTGAAACAGGATCTGTGGGCTTTGATTTTGGACATGCTTGCTATATAATTACAAAAAACAAAAGCAAAAAAAAAACCCACACATAAAAAAACTCAAGAACCATAAAAATCATTAAGGAAGACTGGCTTTGTATAAA